GAGTGGCATTCTTGAGAATTGCGAGGACACAGAGAGTCCAAATGGGTATTGGAATTCATGGATTTTCTTGGGTTTTAAGCGTTGATTTGGGATTGGATCTGGGATTTGGGATTTGGGTTTTGGTTTCTAGGATTTCATCTTTCCCAAAAGACTGCAAATTTGAAAATTTCATGGCCAAACCCACCAAGATCGGAGGTATGATGTGTTTTCCCTTATATGCACTGCATAAACTTGATTGCAGCATTCATTTGCACTTGATCTATTTTCCTTTTTCTGATGCATTTGTATTTGGGTTCCTCTTAAATTGATTTCTGATGCATTTGTAAGTGATAGTTTCTGAACTGATGCGGCTGCTCTAGAGGAATTGACAGATAGTTTTGTTAGGTTCACAAATTTTGGTCAGTCGATGGTGTCTTTTACAACCATGATGCAGATATAATTAATGTGAGAAGCAGATATTTTTTCCAACTTACCATGTTTTGAGGACCTGATGATCCCCTGAATTCAGGCAATTCTACATTGTGCTGTTACAGGATCAAGGGAAAATGTCTACGAGCAATGTTTTATGTGTTGAATCCGCACAAAGGTCTTCTGAGCATGTGTCTCTGCTGGCATAAATCCTGCAATAACAGTTGTAACAAATTGCTCCCACACGTGTTGAATCGATGATTCGTCTTCTAGGCTCTACGTTACGAGAAATTGTTAGGTGCTCGGGCAGCGATGCCGACTCTCATTCGCGCGAGTGATTACGTGCGAGGAAAAATGAGTGTAATCTCGGTACATATGACAACATTACCGTTCACTCACTCAATTTTACAAGTTTTTGGATGCTTTGCTTAGTCTTTCTTGTTCGAGGTTGGCAACATTTAGAAGTGGACTTTCCTTTCTTGGATTTGCAGATTATCAGCTTAGCCCATATCATAAAAGCATGAATTTTCAGATCATTGAGAGTAGGACACCAGGAATGGCACAAGAACCCTCTATTGAAATTGCACAAGAACCCTCTATTGAAATTGCTCAAACATGAATAGAAGATTTGATGACTCTCTTAAAAGCCTAGTGTCTCAAGTCCCCTTAGTTAATCCTGGACAGGTGGTCGAAACTATCAAGTTCCGATCCCGGTAGGGGCAGAGTGGGAATTTCCCGTCTTTCCTAGAACACAGTACGCGGGAGTCATGACATCGGCTTGTCGAGGTGCAAAAATCAATTACCGAACTGATGCGCTAAACTTTTTGGTCAGGAACAAGAATGGATCTCATTTCCCTTTTCATTTAGAGCTCGCCTCATCATTTTGCGGAATCAATTGCAATTCAGTCCTTATTCCCCGTTGTTATTCTTTGTTATGTGGCAGAGTCATCTGCATATGCATTTCCGAGTCCAAAAACGAAGGGATGGCATTTCAAGATCGTAGACTTTTCCTTTCAACACCAGAAACGCATTTCCACAGTAGTTTTCTGCTGAAAGTCAAAGCATTCAGCACCGAGCATGTACATTGCTTGTCACGCTACAATAGATTACTTTTTCTTAAGCTTTCGTGCTGATGGAAAACAAATAACGAATATTCTTCGTTCTACGAAACTTAACTTGGGTCGATGGCCAAAAGGCTTATCAAATACGGTGTTTGCTCATACCCTTTGCAGACATTAAGCTAAATCAATATCTTCTCACGTAAACGTATTGCAGCATACGTCGCCAACCAGGCAATCTCAGTTCCCCCCCATCTTGCTTGTCCTGGTGGGAAGTGAACGAATATGATCCTTACTCACGTCTCATTTCTCGTCTTAGAGCTGAATTGCTTGCCCTTGAAATTACGTATCAGATCAGACTATATAAACTGATAATGAATTGGTGTGTTGTTACGTTATTATTGCATCATGATTAGAGGACACGCGAAAGGAGATGTACGTCGGAGAAAGGCTCAAACCAAGCACTGCTCTTCCGCGCAGTCAATTTGACAATTCCAGAAAAAAAGAAACTTCATCTTTGCCTATGTATAACTGACCAACTGTACATGATTCTACATTTATCTAAGTAGCAGTCATATTCTATCTAAAAATTCACATTTTGTACGTTGCCCAGCAAAGAAAGAATGTAGACAAATAATAAAGAAAAAGCTAGGAAAAGAATTGGAAGTGAAGCGCTTCATTATCGTTTGCGGAGAACAATCTTTCCTTCCGCATCTTCGAGAACGATGGGCAAAACTTCATCGGGAGGAGCGTAGCGCCAAATGCGAAGCCTCTCCGACTGATGCCCCATTTGAGCGAATTTATCGGCGGCTCTATTCCCTTCTCTGTAGATGTGAGTCACGATGCAATTGTCGAGCTCCGGAATGATCAAGTTGATGTGACTCAAATGCTTTTGAACTTCTGCGCACTTGACCCGCCTTTTCTGCAAGATGATTTCGACCAGAGTTTTCGCGTCTCCTTCGAGCCACACGTTGCTCCATCCATTCTGAACCACCAAGTCGAGGCCTCGTCGGAGCGCGGCTAGCTCAGCGATGGTGCTAGTGGTTCTCCCAATGGGTTCGGCGTAGCCGAGCAAGAACTCGGCCCTATGGTCCCGAAACACCCCGCCGATGCTAGCTTTCCCGGTCCTACCTCTCCATGACCCATCAAAGTTTAGTTTGGTCCAACCAAGTTCGGGCTTTTCCCAGGAAACCGGAATAGGTTTCTTGTGAAAACTCCTATTGAATACACTTAATGGACATGATTGGATTAGCCTTTGGCGTATGAAACTCTTCCCGGCTGTCGCCAAAAACATATTTTTAGCTATGTGCGATTCTTTCTCAAACTTCAGCGCTTAAATAAATAAAACGAGCAACTATTCTCCGGAGAAATTCAGAGAAAATGCCGGACTAAAATCTTTAATCCGTTATTTTTCTGCTCAGAAACTTGAATTCAACCACATGCTATGCTTTACAAAGGAATTGATGAATGTGGAAGGAGAAGAAAGCACAAAAGGACCTATATGTCACCTAGGGTTAGATCATTACAGCTGAAAGACACATGATACGATACGGTATCATAAATTGGGTGGAAACTTTAGAAATGAAGAAAGGCTGACGAAGAACAAATATTAACCTCGACCACCAACTATCGGCGAACTCATGACACAATCGGCCAGGACAATTACCCCAAAGGAAGATGTTCGCAGCTAAAGGGGGTGCATGCAAATCTCTGACAAAACAATGAGGATCACCCTCCTTCTTGTGAATGATGAACATGCAATTTTCATGCAAGTCTGTCTTATATATGGTTTTGAGTGCAGAGAGAGCAAGGAACGAAGACTCAAGTTACCTTAACAAACAAGCCATCAGAAAAAACAAAAAACAAAAACCCTCGTAACAAAAGTACACATGATATGACGTGCATGTTTCTGTAACTTGTGTTTTCGAGAAGAGGTTCTCATGCAGCTGCTTGCTTCACCCCATGGATAAACGGATTTCTAGACGTGAATGTCAAGTTAGTGGACGTCTTTGGTTTGGTTCTGACGGTTAACTTTTTAGCCTGCAGCTAATGACCAGTTTGTTCGCTCCAAAGAAGGAAAGCCATTGTTTCAACTTCGAGTTCTTGACAGTCATCCAAAGATTGGAAGTTAACCCATAATTTTAGCTCCCATCACCTGTAAAACCTTTTCTTCCGAAAAAAGAAGAGGATATTCGGCGCTTTTTTTGCCTTTTCTTTTATCTTTTTGGTATTTGCCATCGGTTACAAAGGCACACGAATGCTCGCAAGTGGAGCAGCTCATTGGGGCGGGTTCGCGCTGGGCCTGCTTGAGCGCGAACCTCCTGAGGTCCTGCCTCGGCTCGCCCTGTCCAAGGGAAAAAAAACACGGGCGAGCCACCTTTTTTCTTTTATTTTTAAAGCTTTTCTGCAAAAAATGGGATCGGAAAGCAAATGGAACATAAGTTTAGGGATTTGCTCTATTCTATTTTTTTTACTTTAACTGTGAGTTTCACACTATTTTTCCTCTACCATATTAGAAATTTGGGCTTATTTTGTCCGATTATTGTTTATAAGCTTTGAATATGAAAAGTAAATTTATCGAGACAACATATTTTATATCTCCTTTAAAAATATATGGGCGGGCCGGGTCAAGCCTCAGGGCCCTTGCACAAGCCTGGCCCACAAGGTGAGAAAGAAAGGGACAAAGAGGAGAAAGTGGTTGATTTGAGTGTTTTAAGTCTCTCAAATCACTCTTTATACAACTGAGATGATAGGGTGCCCAATTAATGTTAGTAGCAAGGGGGCGTAGAAAGCTAGAAACTTGGCCTGATCATGGACAGGTGATCCATTAGGCCCAAAGCATGTTGTAGGATGGCCTAGGTAAGTATATTCGATTCGGCCCAAGCCCGTCAACTTAGGTTTTGTCGGGCTTCTCCCAGACCAGACAATTTAATGAAGAAAAAACTTAATATTTTCTTATATCAAATGATGAATGCGACCTTGGAGAAAGGACTTTGAGACTCGATTCTCACTATGAACCGGCCCTCCCATACCCATCCATTGATCAGGTCGAATTGGAGACCATGATGATAATGTCACGGTCCAGGGGTTTTCAACGTAGAATGGACCGAAGATGATCCAAGAGGAACAGGAGAGCCTTGAAGCTTCTAAAAGTCCTAGGGTTTCTTGTGTATTCTAGAATATTTTTAGGGGCAGGCAATATGAGAATTGTATATTTTTTTGGAGCATTTTTGTAATTAATGTGGTTAGTTGGTAGATAGGAAAGATAGAACCTCCACTATTAGATTGAAGGGATATGTACGGTTGTGATTATGAGAGTATTTGTATATATAGGTCCCCTCTCCTCATTTGTATCATCTCATAAGTAATAGAAATTTTAGTGCTTCTCTCTCTCTAAGAGTTTCCAGCACGAAACATTTACTTGCAATTGATAATTACAAATGTACCATTACATTCTAATTAACTAGTATTCATTTGAAGAGAAAGAAGGGAAACTTGTAGTTAGCCTAACAATTAAATGACCCCTTTTCAATATTTGCGAATGGAAAGATCTCATCATTTTCTTCTCCAGTGACAGCGATGATGGCTCTCTAGAACTTGTCGTTGCCTATGATCCACAGCCAGCCCAAAGAAACTCCCGAAAATATCCCACCCAAGAGAAAAAGCACAAGCAAGTTGCCCAAGGCATTTTGCTCTGGTCCCTGAAACAATCCCATTTTGAATCGTATGTAAAAATTATGATAAAATAAACACAACTTCGACAAAAGAGATATGTTCAAGTCAAACCTTGTAGCCTTTGGGCGCTACTGTCATAACACAGACAGTGAGATAACCATTGCTCAAGCCCAAGAACGAAATGAGCATTATCATCCACCCTTGATCACCATACTTTGCCGTGAAGTAGAATGCAGGGACAAGCAAGAAACGGGCAAGAATGGCGAACAGGAGGCCCTTTCGGGACTCTAACTTGAGCCAACCAATAAGGGGAATGTATCGAGATATGAGATCCCATACATTATACATAGCAATTAGAACCAGCGGGTACCTAAAACGGTAAAGCAACATCATAACGAGGACACAAACCTTTGCAGAAGGTGACATAAAAAGTATATGATATGCATAGATGCAGCAGAAGTATATGAAATTATCTTACAAATACAAGACAACATAGGATTATATTGAGAAGTGTAACATTTACTTGAAGTAGAGAAATTGGCTTCTCTTATCAATACTCACCATGATCCCAACTGGTGTGTTCCGGTATTCTCATAGAGAAAGCCTGGGAAGATTGTCAGTGTCAAAACATATATAAGATATAGATCAATGGCATAATCTATATTCTGAAACAACAATTGTTTGTTGCTCAATCGATCTTCTTTAGAGCTTCCATCCTGCCAAAATTTCAAAATTTTCAAGGTTTTAGATACATTGAAAGGAACACAAATTTTGCAACTACAATAGAGAAAGTTCCATTGCTATAATGCACCTGTGTTTGGATTCCAGCGGCAGCAAGATCAGCTGAGACAGTTTTAGACCCTTCTGAGGCCGCCTTGGAGCGGTAGTACTTCACAATCGGAATCTTAGCGAACCAAGTTGCATACAAAATGATGCAGATGAACTCGAAGAATGTGGAGATTGCCAAAAACAACACTGAAAAACAAATTTAAGATTGATGAGATGAGTTCTGCATATAGCTTTCACTTGACAAAACTGATTATTGCACCACGAGCTTCCTCTGTGTATACGCAGGGCATGACATAGGAAGTTGGGTTTTACCTACTTACCAATAATACCTTAAAATTTGAGATGAAACCATGTTATGACATAAAACTAAAGTCCTTTAAGATTGTAGGTTATCGGCACGTGACCACATATGACTAACAAGACAAACTAGACTTGCCCGAGTGTTAAAATTCCACTAACAACAAGACCCCTAAATGACAGGATGAAGAAATTGAGATGATTTTCTGATGATGACAAAGAATTACATACTCGCTCCCTTGCGAAGACCATCATGAGCTTTGTCAAAGGCTGCTTTTGTGATCAGCCTCAAACCAGATGTTAGAGCTCCTGATGCAGCTAAACCAGCGAAAAACGACTGCATAAATGAAAATCCACCATGATTTGAGGTAGAAAGACCAAAATCTGACTCGAAAGATGTAATTTAAGGACATAAGTTTTGAAAAGAATGCAATAAAAAGTTTAAGGGACCGCCCACCTGCATGAATTCAGGACACATGAAAGACAGATCGCCGACCATACCACCCTGAACATGAGCATCTGCCACTCCAAAACAGGCAACGAGCACACATATACCGAAATAAGGCCCAACTCCCCCTTTCCCCGACGTTGCTAAGTCCAACTATCATGTATGAAATCCAGCAATGGAGTTAATGTGATATACTAGAATTCATGGAAAATAACTTAAATTAGACAATTGTACTAGTAGGAGTATTGGACAACTTACAACTATGAGAAAGAGTGTACTTAGAGTGAAAAGGATGTATCCAATTATATTCCTCTTTCTCGTATCAACTTTGGATTCGTGGTACGATAAGATAGCCATCGTCCCAATTGCGAATGGTTGATAAACAATGGTAAGCACTCTTGAAGGATGGTAATGCTTCAGCCATAAAAAAAACATATAATTAGAATAGCACAATCAGCCGGGGACTTCACATTGCCCTGAGCAAATTATAAACCGAAATAAGAGAAGAAAAGATATTGAAGGACAAGTAAATAATTTGCGAGTCCTAAAAGCACTTCTTAGATGATTATGTTAAGAACTCATCCGGATGTCACACAGCATAAGGATCGTTATATCAACCACATATCAACAAACTCCTACTGCTATGAGGCCAGTGATGAAGAAAATGAACCATAGCCAAGATGACAATAATGAAAGTACTGGGCGACAGATCCACTTGATTAGCAAAATTCATTGGACACACCTGTTTTCTAGTCAGACACCGTGGAGTAAACAATTACCGAGCCACAGTTCTCAGAACTCCTACTGCTTTGAGGCCAGTGATGAAGAAAATGAACGTAATCAAGATGACAATAATGAAAGTATTGGACAACAGATCCACTTGATTAACAAAATTTATTGGACACACCTGTTTTCTATTTAGACACTGTGGAGTAAACAACTACTGAGCCACAATTCTATGAGGCCAGTGATGAAGAAAATGAACCATAGTCAAGATGACAGTAATGAAAGTATTGGACAGCAGATCCACTTGATTAGCGAAATTCATTGGACACACCTGTTTTATAGTCAGACACTGTGGAGTAAACAATTACTGAGCTACAATTCTCACACTTCAAACAGAGTCTAAGACTCTTCCATATGAATATGAGACAGCAAAAGAGAACAAAGAGTTCACTAAATACAGAACACGAAACAGAGAAATTATGGTATTTGCTTAAAAAATTAGTCGGAGATTGGGAATAACCCGCAATTGATTACCGGGAACACTTTATAATAATAATCTCCAATAGTCAGCATACTGTTCCATGCCACCAGAGACCCAAGTCCAAGGACCCAACAGAACACCATGGCCTTGAACTTCCCCTGAAAAGTTTGGGAAATTCATTAGTACCCCTGTACCGGTATTCCTGAGAAAACTATAAAGCAGGACAAAAGCAAGCGAATGGAGACACAAACCTCAAGCCTAACCGGAACCCCAGTTTCATCAGCAGTGGCCATAGTTGCTTCCCTGCAAAACTCACCAGAGCAAACAAACTCAGCTCACAAATGATCTACTTTCGAGTCTGGTCATTCAAAAACTCAGGACATAAGAGAATATGCACAATGATTTACTCAGGATGCGAGATGGCTAACACCGAACAGCAAACAAAAGACAAAATGAAGGATATCTGCTTCTCTGTATCTAGAGGAACTCAAGATGCAGAGACCTTTATCTTGGGAGATGCAAACCAGTGTGGGGGCGTGGACAGCTGAGCATGTGGACTGTTGGTGATCAATGGGGAGAGGAAGATTAAGAAAGATTCTTTTGCCTTTATGAATAAAGTGCAACGAGAGAATCTTCTCTACTTTGGGAGAAACTTTTTTAAGAACTTTCTGACCTTCGTGGAGCTAAGAGTATAACAAAGGAGCCCGAGTTATGGGGCGATCGTTTCCACATCTTCCAATGCGAACGCAAGCGGTTTTGACTGGCGTTGCACGTGGCCAAAAATATCGGAAAATAAATTGGAAATATATAAAATAAAATAGTTCTTGTGAACGCATCAATTGTGTAACAGCTCATTTTTTTTAATTTTTTATTGCCTATAATTAGGGATCCGGTCTTTTGTGGTTACTAGGATTAGTCAAAGTTCTCCGGTAGGTTGATGTCTACTAAACATGATGTGTGAAGATTTTGATGCGCAAAAGGCAGGCAAGATTTGTATGTTCCACCGTGTTAAATTTTTTAAGTGAGATCGATTGAGTGTTCTCAACTTATTAATATTAGCTTGTTTATCGTGTTTTCTAATATTAGAAACTTCGAAAAGTAGGGATGGAGTTGTGAGGACGAAATTAATAGAATGAATTACCAATACGTGAAGCGTCATGTAATCTCCTTTTCATCTCGATAAAAATTTCTATAGGCCGGAGTCCCTAAGTTACGAGAGAGACGGATGGTGAAATGAACGTGATAATATATCTTTTTATCTTATCAAAGATGGCTCGATGGTAAAGATTCTCTCCTTTGTTTTCCACAAAGATAATAAATAAATATGTAATAAATTTGAAGAAATTTCAATTGGGTGGCGACTAGTTATATTCAGGGAAGTGTGCCCACAATAAAAAAAGGACAAGTAGAAAATGGCCGGTCAACGGCATAAGAACTCAAAGGAAACGCCAAATACAAGAAACAATTCGAGCCATATCTTTTGCTATAGCTGTTATTATCACATACATATTCGAGAATCAATATGGACGGAAAGATCTTGCTCGCTGTATCCTCATGTTCACACACCCTCTAGCCCTAAAAGCATACCTTATAAATTATAATATGATCATCCAAAAGAAAATACAAACACAGAGAGAGAAAGAGAGAGGATCATAAAGGTTCTTTTGAGATTCCATTGTTATCCTTAATGAGTCTTTGGTGGGAAACTGTTCATGCATCAGCTTTCATCGACCATGCCTTTCGGGCAAGATAAGGTAGGTGATCGACTTGCTTATCTGGATAGGCCTTTGATCTTCTATTGTAACCACTGAGATAAAATATCGGTAGAAACTTTTGAACGGAGCTGGCGTTTACTTTTTTCTTGCACATAATAGTTTTATCGTTTTTTATCTATTAAAAGCAGTCCTTATCTGCTGTTTCATCGACCAATTGACGTGCAATGACAAGAAATTTGAGCCCCGTCACGTCAGAGACATCAAATCAAATCATATAGGATAAAATAGTCATGAAATATATTATAAATTATATATATACTGATTAACAAATATGTAATAATCCCCCAAAAAAAAGAGATTATGTGGCAGTACTTAACTGTCTCATGTTTGGGGATTTGCATTTCCAGTTGGGAGGCTCTCATCGGTTTGTGAGCGGCGTCATCTGTCACGCCCCGAACTTCAATGGGCACGTGACACCCGCCACTGATCGATTAGTGCGACGTCCTAGGAATGTCGCCGACCTCAAATCGCCATCAGAGATTTACAATCACAACGGATACTAACAATTAATCCCTGACAAATAAAACTGGGGAGAATAGAGAGAATACATATATTTCTTTTCCCATTGCTAAACTTAGACCATAATATTTACAGTTACAAAGCCACCACATATGCAAGTACCCCAAAATTTACAAGTCACTAAATATACAGATACACCCCAAACTACATCTACAAATACTGCGGAAGTGTGCTTAATCCAGGTGAAGTTATCGCCCATCGGAAACTCTGCAACGTCCAACTCGGTGTGTACAGGGACTCCAAAACGTTCTGGTGGCGGCGGTGGAGGATTCATGGTTCCTGTCGGGGTTCTGAAATTGTCGGTTGAAACAATCGTGAGAACACTTCTCAGCAAGTTCACCCCTAAACCCCATCGAGGCTATCACGTACCTCCAGACAATTTCACAAAACACAATCACTCACCTACACCACATAATCACATAGCAGGCACATCAACACAATCGCAAGCATGCACAAATTTTCATGTCATGCACTCATTCCGTTCTCATCATGTCTCATTCACGTTCCTTGCCAGTGACCTGCGTATACGTACACGCCTCAGGTACACTGCGACCTCGTTCTCATCATATCCCATTCACATTCCTCGCCAGTGACCCGCGTAAACGTACACGCCTCAGGTACACTGCGACCTCGTTCTCATCATATCCCATTCACATTCCTCGCCAGTGACCCGCGTAAACGTACACGCCTCAGGTACACTGCGACCTCTTTCCACAACACTTCCAGGCCCGCGTAAACGTACACGCCTCAGGCCATATTTCTTGCCTGCGTAAACGTACACGCCTCAGGCTCAATACCTACCACCTACTGCGTAACCCGGGTTGAAGTACACGCCTCATGCTAGCAGTCTTCCGGTAATACCGGGTATCGTCCCGCGTAAACGTACACGCCTCAGGACGGCACAATTTTCCACAATCACGTGTCATGCCACATTTTTTTCTCACACAGGCACATGCTCAACATGTATTTACCAAACACAACTGGCCAATCACACGTGGCCCGTGCACGCATCAATTACACACAATCCCATGCTCACTCAGCATTCAACACGGCCAATAATAATAATTAAAATAATCTGGCCCACGCGCGCACCCAACAATCATAATTAACTCAACCAATCGCACAATCACACATTTAATTTCACCATCCCAACTCAATTATATTCCAAACGCACAATAAACACAGAAATTGCTATTTTTCTCTAACCATACGACGTCAAATCGATTCCGGTCCTTCACGGGACTTTCTCACCATAAATTCTCGGTTCTAAAAATCCAACTTGCGTCCCGATCGGCCCATCACGGCCCTGTGAACAGTAGACCACAGCCACTGTTATTTTCTAATTTCCAATAAATAATGCCCGAATTAAATCCCAAGGCCCTCCATAAAATTTCTACTCCCTATTCATGCAATTCCGCACCTAACTTTTACCAGATTTCGCCCAAAAATCGCCCGTCGATACCCGACGTCCTAAATTGGGTTTAGAGCGCGACTTACCCGCGTTCTAGACTATCGCGGCTAGAACGGAAAGCGGCGGCACTTAATCGGGAACGGCGGGGACGACGACGGCTCCTGGGTGGCGGCGATCGGCTTGGGTGGCGACGGCGCGGCTTGGGCGGTGGCCGGTGAGGCTCACGGCCAAAGGGAGGACCGAAAAGGAAGAGAGAGAGAACGGCGGGATGGGGGGGTGGCGTGGTGCGATTTGGCGAGCGGACGGCGGCGGCTTGCGGGCGTGACCGGCGATCGGCGGTCCGGCGGCAAAGGGAGAGAGAGAGAGAGTATACGGTGGAGGGGGAGGAGCTCACGGCAAGGGGGAAATTTCACGGGGAAAGGGGGAAAAGAAGAGAGAGGAGAGAGAGAAAGGGGGGTCAAGGGCTTATATCCAATTTTGACCATTTTTTTGGTAATTTACCAAAATACCCTTTACCCTTAAAGCTTGTCCTTTAATATATCCTAGGGGTATTTTGGTCACTTTCTCCGTTTTTTGTCCAAATCGAATTTTTCCGAAGGAATTGAGCGCACAAAAAATTCATACATGTCACGTGCAACGTCGTCCTAACATTCCGGCGTGACTTCCTAATTTTCCGGTATCCAATTTGGGCTGAATTAAATAATTTAATTCTATTAAATGTAACTCGAGCGTTTCTCAAACTAACGGGTGGCTTGTTGGGGAAATTCGCTTATTCGACCCGTGACTGACACTAAATCGACTCACGTGCAATTTATTCAGACCGTCACGACTTCGGTTGTCAATAAAATCGCGAGGATCAATTACTAGATCCGTGGGGCACGATCGTTTGGTATAGGTTCAAGATCGTTCGTCAATTCATTTCGTGGTCCAGCGGTATCACCCGCGATCCACTATGCTGACAATGGCGAACCGACCCCCGACTATCCTGGGGACGGCCAACTGGCCAAAATATCATCTCGGCGATTTAATGGCCGAAAGTCAATCCACGATCGAATTTTCTTTAGTCGTACGAATTTAACTCCCCGATTAGCCTTTCCCTAATGGTTAGCATCCCAGGAATGATCAGTTCCGGGTGAGAACTAACTACGAGCATATTTATAAAACTCAGTATTTTATAAATTCCAAATGAACTATTTTTCAGGATGTCACGTCATCGCATTGTACTTAACTGTGGATATTTCAATGGAGGAGTTTTCTTTGGAAACTTTAAGCTTGGTGGGCTCGGTGTTGGGTCTCTATATATATATAAAAAAGCCAAAGTGAGGCAATCAACTTTTGTCACCTTCAGTTTGGTTTCAAGCTGAAAGAACTCAGGTTTATGCGATATTTCTTCTCAACTAAAGAAATTGAATTCACTGAAAAGCCAAAACTATCGCCCTGTTTATTTCGCAAAAATATTTTCATTTCATTTTTTAACATTTGGATCGCTTATGGGTCAAAACGATGTTTTTTTTATCATATCCAATGAAAACGCCTATATTTAAATTTAGAAATTTCTTCATTTGAAAATTGTAAATCATTTTTCAAAATACAACTAAAGACTCGGCAATTGGACTACAGACGTTGGTGCTTGGGTACGGGGACCCCGATGCTTGTGCCCGGGTACTTAGTGGCAGAGCCTGGGACCCACGCCTATGCCCAAGTCCCTGAAGGTTATCTTGTGTACCCAACTCCTGTGGGCCAAATCACTAGCACCTGAGCCTAGTTCCTCGCCTACCGGGCCCGAGTCCACAAAGGTTGCCCAAGTCTCTTGAGGCTGGTCGCAAGGACCCGATGCCAGTGACTAGATCCCTAGCGGCTATGCCCATATACATGGATCCTTCGCCCAAGTCATCGAGGCGTGGACTTGGGGCCTCGGTGCCTGTCCTTGGGTTACCATTGGCCAGGCTTGAGAAACTTAGGCTCCTATGACTAGGACCCTAGCACCTGGGCTTGGGGACCCTAGCACCTGGGCTTGGGG